TGAAGGTTAGAGCAAATTTTAGCATATTTTAACATTGAGGTCATGTAAAATTCAATGGTTATTGAAAACACAAGCAGGGAGGATGATGTTGTCTATTGTATATGAAAATATTCCTTTGAGCAACAAACATCATTTAGTTGTGCTCAGTTTTTACTAGAACAAACCCCTAAAGGGAGAAAGTTTCAGCCGAATTTTCTCATTCATCATGAAATGACATTTTGCTTTCAGTTTTTATAACCCAACCTGGTTCTTCAAATCTGCACATTTTATTATCTAACTTGTACGAAGTCCTAAAAAAAAAAAAGTCTAAAAAGCCAATAAATTTCTGCCAGCTGTGATCTGTGCTAACGTGAAAATAATACATTGAAGTATCAGTTGGCATCTCGCCTTAAGCTGTACGCATGCAAGGCTGCTCTCACAAATATGCAGAGATACGCTTCACAAATTATACTATTAAAGATGTGGCTCCTGGGAATAAGCTAGGATTCCTGACTTTGCTCTTCGATGCTTTTTTTAATAAATGTTTAAAGTAAAAGTCTTAAATTATATACAACAGGGGAAAACACTAAACCACAATTAGTGGGTACATTCCATGAAAATTATTTATATCAATCAAATCACATATTTTAGAGCACTGTGGTTTAAAAATATATCATATTATTTTGCTAGCTTCTATCACTTTGCCTTAATGTTTTTTTCTATGTACAGGAAAGAAAGAACAGTATTGCGGGTCAGGGGAAGAAAGGCGCAATAAATGGAATATGGCAAGATAATGAACTCGTGTTCTTGAAATACTGTCACTTCACCCTGTCTTTCTAAGTTAAAAACAAAAACAAAACTGAAGCACACTCTTAGACTCTGCTTCATGGCCATGATTTTAACCAAGAGCTCCAGAGGAGAGTGCAAGTGAAGGAAATCATCTGCTGGCGTTAGGTGAGAGCTTGGGATATTGTAGCAGAGGAGAAGGCCACATTCCCTACCCTGAAGCCCAGGGAAGATGAGTGAGCTTCTCTCTGTATCTCTGCTACCGGGTAACACTTTACCAACTGGTTTTTATCTTAGGCAGATACTGCCACAGCATGCATTAGCTACTGGTTTGGTATTACCCAAATGATCCAGTAACCTGTCTTAACAGCTGAGGAAAGCATACAAGATAAAGTATAATTAAAGAAAAAATTTACTGAATCAATTCATTGAAGGAGGATGAGTAAATGGAGGTAGGAAGATGCAGCTAAAAATATGAAATCAGTTGCTCCTATTGAATCATAACCAGTGGAAAGAACAGAAAAAAAATCACTTAGGAAAAATATAATAAAAAATTTCCAGTGACATAAAATTACAGTGCAAAAATGTTTCCAGAATTGAAAAGAAAATAAAAGCACGCTTTTTAAATGAACAGATTAAATGAACTAAAAAATAGAATGCCACTGTTAAACTCTGAATTGATGTTCTGAAAGATCAAGTAGAAGTACTGTCGAACAATAACAAGAATGTAAGTTCCAAGACGGCAGATACACATCTGCATACTTTTCTCTACTTTCAGCACCTAGCCAATATAAGGGGCTTAGCAAATGCTTGTTAATGAAGGCATAATCAACACACGTGTCTTCAAGGTTAAGAATGAAAGATTAGAGAAACATTAAGTAAAGAGATCAAACACGAAGACAGAAAATTGCAGAAGGAGAAAATCATTAGCTTATGATGCTACAAATGCAGAAATGATAGGACTTATTCTCTAGCAGCAGAGATATCCATCAACTATTATGTGTATATACACACATGTAAATATATATATAATCAGTGAAAAATACAAAAAGTATAAATAATAGAATATTATGTATCGAATGATCCAATTTTTAAAAAACCACAATTACAATATTCTGGTAATTCAAAATAAGTTTAAATAAATGAATTAATGTGTGTATGAACTTAAGAACAATGTGCAAGCATAACATGGCAGGCACTTGTTAATGTTTACATCAGGACAGCAGGATGGGGGTAGAAAGGAAACAGTTATCATTTTTCTTTATGCATTCTGAACATTTTCTTTTTGTTTGTAATGAGGTTTTCCTCATTACAAATCTTTGGAATCTAAGATACTTGCAATCTCATCAGCTGTGGTGAGTCGGCAAGACAGGTAGTACAATGGTTGAGAGTGCAGATCAAACGGGAGGAGTTTTCCCTTGTCCCCCTCGCAGGGCATGCGACAAAGGTGTGGCTTGCCTCTTCAGCGCCACGCAGCTCAAACCCCTAGGAGGAGCATGCAGATGACAAGTAGTGGGGAGCTTGGGCTCCGACCCCACCACAGCCAACAGCGTCTAGGTTTACTGTTTACAGCTCCCAGTGCTCTAGTGGGCGTGTATTCCAGTGTGCTCTTTCAGCTTAGCCGTCTGGAGGCAGCTTGTGTTAATCAGCTCACTTAGATAGCGTACAGGAAAAATCAGATCACCACATGGGCTTGGAGAACAAGTGGAAGGTTTTATTGAAGGGTGGAAGTAGCTCTCAGCAGATGGATAGGGAGCCAGCAGGGGGACGGAGTGGGAAGGTGGCCTTCCCCTGGAGTTGGGCGGCTCAGCCGCCGGACTCTCAGCCGAATTCCCCTTGGAGTTCACGTCATTCCACCATCAAGGGCCTACCGACATCTGTGAGTGTGTTCTTCTCCTCGTGTGTTCCTCTCGACATCCAGCTACCTGTGTGTGTGCCTGCTAGGGTTTCGAGGTTTTTATGGGCACAGGAAGCGGGGCATTGCGGGCCAGAGTGGTCTTGGAAAATGTAACATTTGGGTGCAAAAAGAGAAATGCTTGTCCTCAGGCCCCTAGGCACAGGCCCGGGAATGGAGCCCTCACCGGGGATCCCATCCTTCTCCACCCAGCGCTTCTCTGCCCTCTTTCTGTATCACAGACTCTAGAGTCAAACTGCTTGGATAGACATTCTGTTTTTTTCTATATAAAAGCTACAGAAGCGTTTTCCTCTCTCTTCCTTAGTTTGTATTTATTTTTTAATATACATGAAATGGAGATGAAGGTGGTAATTTCAGCCTCATAGGGTTGTTGTGAGGTTTAAATAAATTAACATATATAAAGCATTTAGAAGAGTGGAGAGAACAGAGTATCTTCATAGATGTTAGCTGGTATTATTATACAGTGTAAAACTGGAACAGAGTGAGTAGAGTACAGGACATTTTATCTACGTCTGAAATCCCTAAAGATTCTAGCAAATTTGAAAGCCAGACTGGTTAACTCTGTTTTACGAAATAACCCTCTCTCACAGACTACCCCAGTCACTCTAGAGATGGAAGGCAAGCTGAGTTCGTTCCTATTGCCCCCAGACTGATAGGATTATTTGAAACTGACTCTGCTCAAGGTCTGGTAGCCCACTAGCCACTTTCAGTAGATATCATTTTCTGCCAGGGCCCCTGCGGGGTGTGGAGATAGAGGAAGACACCACTAACCCTGTGTGTTTTGGCAGAGAGGGAGATCTCAAAATACCTCTCCCAACGCTCCCTAAATCTGAAAACATTGGTGTAGATAATTCTAAAGGTGAAGTACAAATATTATTGGGTAAGGTTACAACGGATATTTGCCTGCAGATGGATTTTAGAGCTTTTATTAAGAGCAGTTTTTCAGTTACAATGTGTAACTGATGTGAGAATAAAGGTTTGTAACTGGCAAGGTGGAGTTAATTACTTTGCAATTTGGCATTAAAACTGCCCTCACATATAAAAATACATATGTGAATATGCATTAATATCTTCTCTATCCATTTGGCAAGATCAGTTATTAGTTATATTATAGGCTATCTCCCAGGTTTTAGAAGGTTCCTTTTAGCTTTGATTCAAGAAAGGGTAAAAAAAAAGAGACAAATTTTCTAAATCTTTGCTCCAACTCTTAAAATCATAGTCACTAACATATAATTTGTATTGCTCATGATTTTAATGTTAACAATTACTTATATTTATTTATCAACACAGTATTTTTGTTCTCTTGTATGCCTTAATATGAAGTATATTTTGTTTACAGATAAATTAATGTATGTTTGTGTGCATATATATGTAAGTATATGTAAAAAGTAGTTTAACATGAATATCCTCTGTACTTCTCTACATATTTATTTATCTACTTATCCAACTATTTCCGTTTAGAGGCTGCCTGCTACCTTTTTGTAGGTGTCCATCATAAGTAAATCCCTATCAAAAGACACTTATATCATAAAAATGATGCGATATACATCTGTTACAAATATTTTGGCGAATTTATCTGATTTTTCCCTTACAATGAATATAAAAAACGGAATTCTAGTAAAAGGACTTTCAAAAAGAGTTTCGGATATCTAAGGACAAAAGTTTTTACCATATTGCATATAGCCACAAAACGTATTTATTACTAGCCATTTTAAGTTTTGTTAAGTGGAAAGATTGGGAAAAGAACGTCAGATTATTACCTTTCTTTCTATTTATTTGATTACTAGTGTTAGCGGTGGCAAATATCCATACTCTAATTCTGTGCACATATTGGAACCGGCCAGCAGCCCCATGCACCCAAGACTTTGCAGGCATGACTATAGCCGCCAGTTACCTGGGTATGTTGGCAGCCTCAGAATTTTTGAAGCTGTCCTCACACCTTATTTTGATTTAACATTCTTCTAATTCTTTTTTTTTTTTTTCCCGAGATGGAGTCTCACTGTGTCGCCCAGACTGAAGTGCAGTGGCCTGATCTCGGCTCACTGCAAGCTCCATCTCCTGGGTTCACACCATTCTCCTGCCTCAGTCTCCCGAGTAGCTGGGACTACAGGTGCCCACCATCATGCCCGGCTAATTTTTTTTGTAATTTTAGTGGAGACGGGGTTTCACTATGTTAGCCAGGATGGTCTCGATCTCCTGACCTCATGATCCGCCCGCCTCAGCCTCCCAGAGTGCTGGGATTACAGGCGTGAGCCACTGCACCCGGCCTTCTAATTCTAATAACCCAATTTGTCTCCTCTCACCTTCAGGCCATCAAACTCCGGATGATCTCCAGTAAGGGGTACCATCCTTTCAATATTCAAGAGGCACCTTCTACATGAAACCCCTAGACTGCCCAACAGTGGGTTCAGAAAGAGGCAAAACTCTACCCCTGTCTTTCTTGAACCTGGCTGCACACAACTTTCACCAACCTACGGAGTCACCCTCCTTCCTGGACAGCTAAAAAGAGGCCAAGACCCATAGAACCATCACTGCCCCTTTGTTAGCAGGAAGCAGTTACAGAAGACTGACCTTTGTCCATTTCCCCCCAAAGATTTAGGGTCTTGGGCTCTTGAAAGAAGCATGTTACCGATAGTTAGACAGGCATGAGCGAGGCAGTAGAGGGCTCTTCCCGCACCCACTAGGAATGTCAGGTGATGGTCTAGCAATTACTACATTGCCTCTCTAGAAGTGATAAACTCACAGCTGGTGCCTGGAGGAGCCATTTCCTCATGGTCCACAACTGTTGCACTAAAGTGTTGATTAAATGCAGTTGCCAGGGAGATACAACGTCCCAAGCATGTGCATTAAGAGATTAAATGGAGGAGGATGACCTACTGGAGGCACACCACTGGAAAAAGGAAGAAAGCCTCAGATGGGCATGCGTTCAACTTCCTGAACACTCTGCGTGTGCTCACTTCCCAAGGGTAAGCAGGGCACTGCACAGGAGGGCAGTCCACCCTAAAGGAAAGATCTTGGGAAAGGGGCACAAAACGGTGGAGGTGGGTCAGCCTATGAAATCCGAGGTTCAAAGTTAAACATAGCACTTGTTCTTCAGGTTGGCTATTTAGATCTCTTCCAAATGCACTTTCCTTTCTTTCCCGCTCTAAAGCTTTTCACTAAACTTCCACTTCTGCTCTGAAACTTCCCTTGGTCTCTTTTCCTCCCTTATGCCCCTCAGTCAAATTTTTTCTTCTGAGAAGCCAAGAATTGAGGTTGCTGTAGAACCACGCAGATTAGCTGCCAGTGACTCAGATACTTGCCACTAGTGTGTCTAAATATATTTTCCATGTGTTTGACCCCTTTTTGTTTTTCATTTTCATTGTTTTGTATGAATTTACATTCTAAGCTGATTTTTCTATAACATTTGGAGGGGTTTCTTACTGGTCTCTAAATAATTTTTTATAAATTAAAGGTATTAGACCAGGTGCAGTGTGGCTCATGCCTGTAAACCCAGTACTTTGGGAGGCCAAGGTGGGTGGATCACTTGAAGTCAAGAGTTCAAGATCAGACTGGCCAACATAGCAAAACCCTGTCTCTACTAAAACTACAAAAAAAATTAGCCGGGCATGGTTGTGTGTGCCTGTAATTCCAGCTTCTTGAGAGGCTGAGGCAAGAGAATCATTTGAACTCAGGAGGCAGAGGTTGCAGTGAGCTGAGATCGCAGCACTGTACTCTGGCCTGGGCAAAAGAGCGAGATTCAGTCTCAAAAAATAATAATAATAAATATAATAAAAAATAAAGGTATTGATCCTTCAACTATAATTTTATATTACACCTCCCCCAAATTTGCTATTTGTCATGATTTTAATAGGTTTCCTTTTAGTCACCCAAAAGTTTGACACCTCACATAGTACGCATTTTAGTGCCTTGGGAAGGCATTCTGCCTTGAAATAGCACATGAATGTTAGTTATTCTAATAGTTGTAAAGAGAACAAACTCTGGTATGCCTTTTACTTGCATCAGTAATTTCTCTGGGCAGTGTAAAGAGCTTCACAAGCTTCACAATCATTATCTAATTGATTACTACCACAATTATTTATTTATTTATTTATTTATTTTTTTGAGAGAGAGAGTGAGAGAGGGCACATTTACTAACCTTCTTCATAGAGGAAGAAAAAGAAGAAACTACCACACAGTGTGATTTGTCCAAATGACCCCTGTCATTCCACAGAACAGTAGCAGAGGAAAAATCTGGTCTCTGCTCTCCAGACTGTCACCTAGCCTCTTATTCAGCCTTAGCTTTTGGAAGCTGGGATTTTAGTCATCATTCAGTCATTCAACCACTTAGATTGCAAGGGGTCTGTAGTGTGAAGTACATCAGATTTGCAATATTCAGGACCCTGAGCAGAGTGGGACAGCAAAAATGACCCCAGGAAGCAGGAGGTAAAGTGGAATAATTACAAAATGCTGGGATGCAAGCCATCCCTCAGTATGAACATATATAAAATTTTTAGCATTGCCATGAACCCTAGTGTGAAAATTGTTAGATAACTGCTAGGATAAATGCCAGGTGTGGTTCTGGAGTGAGAGGACATTGAGAGGCATCAAATACAATCTTTCCTTGAAGTTGTTCCTATTAATGAAATTTCACCTACTGGGTACTTAATTGTATAGAAGACTCTGCTAGAAAGAATTCTGATTGCCACATTTGAGTTTTAATAAAAATCCAGCAATAAAGAATTAATATGTGTGGATGTGGTGGCTCATGCCTGTAATCCCAGCACTGTGGGAGGCTACGGTGGGTGGATTGCTTGAGGCCAGGACTTTGAAGCTTCAGTGAGCTATGATTGTGCCACTGCACCTCAGCATGGGTGACAGAGAGACCCCATCTCTATTAAACAAAAGAGAAAATGATAAATATGAACAAGAAAGAAAGACTGCTTCTCTAAGTCCTTTTGAATCTTTAAGCACACTGCTAGCTGGCTTCTTAGCAAGAATAAAATACCAGGTCTTTCCAAATAAAACCCCAAAACATTGTTTTCTCAGATGTATCAGACAATGAGTTATTGTAATAAAAAGCAGGAGATAGATAGCGATCTAAATAATCTTTCTTTCATTTCAGCTGTGTACCTGAACTGATTATAACACAGCATTACCTGCTATGATAACAGCCATTTTATTTTCAATGTATTAGAGTGGCTACGATATTTTTCTTTATTGTCTCCATGTGCAGGTTGAGCACATTTCACACAGGTTCAGCCTGGATTATCCCTGGAGATGCCTGGTCACTTATGGAGTCTTGGGGGATGATGGTCTTGTACTCTCTAAATCTCCTTACAATAAATGTGCAAGACATTTAAAATTAAACAGAGTCCTTATTAGCTGCCTAGGCCAAATCTAAACGAGAAGGCCAGATGTCTACACTTGATATGAATATTAGCGAATTCTAAAGGGTAGTAGCTCCAATATTTCTAGTGGGAGGGTCCAGAATGGAAGTACAGTTTGGTGAATTTTTTCATAATTCTTTATGCACCTCTTATTTTCTGTTACAAATAATAATACAAAAAAACTATTGGGAACTAAACAAAAGAAGGTTATTCTTTTGCTTGAATCACTCTTTTTTCCCACAATTTACTTTACGTGGTTATTTGAAATCATCATCTTAAATATTTGCGTTACCACAATTTAATTCAGCACAGTTCATTCCACCAGTTGCCAATGCGCCACTCTCCCTTTCATTTAGTTAAGCCACCCATTGCCCATCCTAAGGAGGCAGGTAAGCATTGTAAGATTGACACATTTATATCTTAAAATTAACAATTTGTTGACTAAATGATCTTGAGAATATTGATTAACCATTCTGTGCTTAAGTTTTCTCCCTCAAACTACATACCATCACCTGGAATTTTAAGGGATGTTAATGAAAAATGAATATATAACACTATGTGCCTACTGTGCATCAGGAACAATTCTAAGCACTTTTTATATAGTGACTCATTTAATATTAACCTTTAAGATAATCTTCTGAAAGTTAGTATTATTCTTTTTTTTTTTTTTTTTTTTTTTTTGAGACGGAGTCTCACTCTGTTGCCCAGGCTGGAATGCAGTGGCATGATCTTGGCTCACTGCAAGCTCTGCCTCCCGGATTCTCGCCATTCTCCTGCCTCAGCCTCCCAAGTAGCTGGAACTACAGGCGCCCGCCACCACATCCAGCTAATTGTTTGTATTTTTTAGTAGAGACGGGGTTTCACAGTGTTAGATAGGATGGTCTCGATCTCCTGACCTCGTGATCCACCCGCCTCGGCCTCCGAAAGTGCTGTGATTACAGGCGTGAGTCATCACACCCTGCCGAAAGTTGGACAAATAGTAGTCTTATTGGACAAATAGTAGTACAAGTATCCCAGTATTGCACAACTATTTAGTGTCAGAGTTTGGACTTAAATGTAAACAGCATATCTCCATCACCTATAACCTTAACTCTCATCCTGTACTGGTATAAGGAACATGCTCACTAACCCTTAGCTCCCTTTCCAATTTTGTCAATCCTAAATGTAAAAGAAAAATAGAAAATGAAAGAAATAGTGTAAGTGATTAAGTGGCGTTCCATCTGAGCAGACAATTTAGGGAATGTTCATTTTATCGACTTTTTATCTTCTAGGTGATAAAATATCTTCTGGCGTCTTGACTGACTGATCTTAATCAGGAATGAAAAGAAACAGAACATGGCCACAGACACTAACCACTGTACGTCGCCCATGGCATTTGATCATCTTTCCTTCCACCCTCCATCTTCTGCTCTCACCTCAGTGAGGAGACATCTCTCTGGCAAAGCTCACTATAAAGACACCACTCAAAAATAAAGCCTCCTCGGTTCTCTAGCTGCCTGACATTTTTTAATAGAATGACTCTGGCACCATATGTCAGAAAGTCTTATAACCAGCATATCTCATCACCATCCTTTGGATCCATCAAGCCTCCATAAGAGTGAGCAAAAATGAAAAGGAGATAATGAAGGTCTATTTTTTTATTTTCTAAGCACCAATAAAGAAACTTATTCGTAGTTCTCTGAGAATGATACATTTGTTTAATATTAAACTAATGTTATTTTTATGAGTCATATTTTTGCATTACCAGTGTATTACTGGGCTATGGTAGGAGGAAAAGAGCAATAATGAAATCACAAAATGGTTATTAAAGCTTCCTTTCAAAAGTCTTATTTGTTATGTCTGTCATATCGATTGAGCAAGGGAAGTCACACAGCCAAGAATTACATCAGTGAGATAGGGAATATGACCCCTGCACACAGAGGGGGAACCAAATACTTGGGGAAAAAAAAACACTCAGACCACCTTTCTAATTATGAAAACTAGGGGGGTGCTGTCAGAGAGCATGATTAAGTCAGTGTAAGGAAAATCCATCCCTGTTACTCAAAATGCGTACACAAGCACATGTACTTCTGGAATGTCCTTATTTCCAATGGAACATGTATACGTCCAAGAAAAAATTAGCTGTGTCACGGACTGTTTGAGGCTTGTATACTAAATTTAAAAAGTGTTTTCCATGTTGCCAAAAGAAATATCCACGGTCTTCTTCCTTAATTGAGATATGAAAATTTTAGTGGTTTTTTTTTTTTCCATGCAGTTTTTTTTTTCTATTTAATTTCAGAAATCTGGCAGAAAGCTGCTATACCCCATTGCCTTCAGGGAGAACTTTGTTATGGAACCCCAAGAAGGATGAACCTACAAGTTAAATCTTTCGGCTTTTTCTTCCTAAAGCTTGAACTACTCATGTTATTGTGCAAGTTGTTAAAGAAAGAGAAGAGAGAATGCCTTTGAGGAGAAGGGGAGAAGAATGGTGAGGGTGAGAGAAAGAAAAGAGAGAGAGAGAGATACTGAACAGAAAGGAAGATTACTAAGGTGAGTAGGTGGTGGGTGACTGCAGAGAGGATGTGGAGACCTCAGTAGTGATAGCTTTGTGTTGCAGGGATGGATCTTAGTGTAGATTTTAGCTCCAGCACAGGTTGCATTTGTGATTTGGAATCAGGATCAGGGGACGCTAGAATCTTGACATTAAAAATGACAGTGGCAGCTGACCACAGTGGTCTGAAGATTAAACATTATTACCCATTTCGAAGCACCAAGCGAGTCTGTAAGTACCTTCCAATCAGCCAGTCAAGATGGCAGTACGTGGTCCTTATTAAACTAATTTAAATAAAATTAAGGAACTGTGTATTTCTGAGATACTTGATTTTATGGTCTGAGATAAATTATAATTAACAACGGTGTTTGATTTTCAGTATTGCCAAATGTCCTATAATTATAGATTTTGAATTAATTTTTCTCTCCTACTTTCTTGGGCCTACTCAGTTCAGTTTTGCATATAGACAGAAAAGAGAGAAAAATCATGTTTGAACTATTAACATGGGAACTTGTGAAAGTTCCCAAAATATTTTCACTATCATCAGTGAGAAAGGGATGTTAGGAAATAAGCTAGATATTATTTTATCTCAGGTTTAATATGTCTTACAGTCTCTTGGCTTCTTTCCCTGATTCATGGCTTCTCCCAGTCTCATTCCATCCCACTCATATTCATCACCCTAAAGCATCCTTTTGCACACATCTTGACCCAAGAATACGTAGTGATTCCCTGTTTCTGCCAAATGAAATCCAAGTTTCCAAGTTCTCATATTCATCTTCAAGGCCTCCCATCCCTGGGCCATGCCCAACATGTGTAGCTAAACATCCACGTCCTACTGTTTTTGTTTTTTTTTTTTTTAATTCACCGACTCCCTCCTCTGTGTTTTGTCTCTTGCTTTATCTCCCACACACAATGTTCATCCATTTCCTCTCTGCCTTTATAGCTTAACATTAAAACTGTATGTTGAGCTTTACCTTAATTATCTTCAAATAAAGCAAGACTAGAATAACTGTTTGAGGTTGTTATTAGAATTGAACTATAACATTTCTGAAGTTCATACGCTAGCATCTGTTATGTACTTGGTGCTTAATAAATGTGCATTCCCTTCCTTTTTTCCCAAAATAATATTTCTGTCCTTAGATGATTATTCTTTAACTAAGTTGTTTTTATGATTTTCCTTATGTGGAAACTAACATTACACACCACCATCAGTTACCTAACTACATTGAACTTAACCTGTGTATCTCAACTTCTTGTCACATCCATTTACAATTTCCTAATTCAGATATTTTAATTAAATTCTCTTGGCAAAGCCTAACGCAGTGACTTACACCTGTAATCCCAACGCTTTGGGAGGCTGAGGCAGGTGGATCACTTGAGCCCAGGAGTTTGAGACCAGCTTGGCCAACATAGCAAAATCCTGTCTCTAGTAAAAAATACAAAAATTATCTGGGGATAGTGGGATGTGCCTGTTGTCCCAGCTAGTTGGTAGGCTGAGGTGAGAGGATGACTTGAACTGGGAGGTGGAGGTTGTACTGCACTCCAGCTTGGGTGACAGAGCAAGACTCTGTCTCAAAAAATAAAAATAAAAAAAAAAAGAAAGAAAAGAAAAGTAAAAGAGAGAGAATACTATGGGCTTAATAAACTCATAAATATTATTGAATCATAGCATGGCTAAGTAGTTCTGTGAATTTAAAGTGCTGTGTTTAGACATGAAAACTAATTACTGATTGTATGCAGCCTTGAATGGAATTTTTTTCATGTGCTATTCTTTTCCGTTCTCTGTGACTCTAGTTAACACCTTTCCTCACAGCCTGACACATTCATCTTGCTTTTAAATCCAGTCTTTATGTTATTTCCATAATCATTTTTATCGTATGCAAAACAATATTATAAGACCTATTAAGTTGTGCTGTATTTGTTGGATTAAAGTTCTGCATTCCTACTTGACTATAAATGCCTTGAGGAAAAGTAATCAATTTATTTTATTTTATTTTGCCAATACCTGTCACAGAGCTTGGCATACTTGCTGCATAGAAGAATGCTGCTTTAAACACCTGTGGATCTGTTTACAGAGAAACGATAAGATACAACATAATATGAACATGTAGTTATGTTAAAAGTTCTGGCTCTTAGTGCATGGCCACAGTTTTGGTACACGATCTATGAAAACCTGCTTGAACTGTCTAACCCTCACTTTATCACCTATAAGATATAATTAAAAATGCCTGTTAAATGTCTAATTGTGAAATTTATTTTTAGAATGAAACAAGGTAGTGAATGTGAAAGTGTTCATATTCTAGTTTCTATTGCTGAGTAATAAACTACCATAAAACTTGCTAGCATAAACAACTATTTTATTATGCTATGGATTCTGTGGGTTAGGAGATAATTGTGGAAGTTATCTTCTCGAGGGAAGATGCAAGTTTTTGCTTGGAGGTGTCTCATGTGGCTGAAGTCAGCTGGCAGCTGGACTGTAATCATCGAGGTGTTCTACTTTGATTGCTGGAACACTCTTTTGGAGTCCTGAAGCTTAATGTAAAAAGTTTGGCTATCCTGAGGCCACTAGGCTATGAAGAAACTCGGGCCACACAGATAGGTGTTGTGTCTGGGCATCGTGGATGGTCCTAGCTGAGCCACTTCCCCAGGGACAACTTTTCCCTTTTCCTCCTATTCACATCCAAGCTGAATCTGAGGCACCATTTGATATTCAAGCAGCTTATTCTGGTAGCATTCTTACAAGATGAGCAGCAGGAGGAAGCTAGTGGCCTGGGACAGACACGGTCAGGGGTCAAATGACCATCTGACCAAGATGATTGTAGTAGTTGTCCTCATGCTGCTAATAAAGTCATACCCAAGACTGGGTAATTTATACAGGAGAGAGGTTTAATGCACTCACAGTTCCACATGGCTGGGGAGGCCTCAAAATCATGGTGGAAGGCAGGGAGGAGCAAAGGCACATCTTACAAGGTGGCAGACAAGAAAGCTTGTTTCAGGGGATCTCCCATTTATAAAACCATCAGGTCTCATGAGACTTATTCACTATCATGAGAAAGGTATGGGGAGAATCACCCCCCTGATTCAATTATCTCCACCTGACCCTGCCCTTGATATATGGGGATTATTACAATTCACGGTGAGATTTGGGTGGGAATACAGCCAAACCATATCAAAGGTCGCAGTCTAAAGAACATTCTCAGCATTTGACAGACTCTTTCCACTTTCTAACATGTCTATTCAGTTCGGGTGAGTTACCAGGTGTTTCTTTTATAGAGAGAGTTTAAGCCATGTTTGTAAGGGTAAAGCTTTGTTTTAAGGTTTATGTAAGTTGTGTCTTTGTTGAGGTGGCCTTGTCTCTAGGGCAACCAGGGTTTTCAGGTCACGTTTGTTGTATAGAGACCCAGCAATCTCCCGGCCAGGACTGGAAATCCCCAGGTAAGGTTACATCATGATGCTAAGTGACATATAGTGTAGGCCCTGTGAGATGTTTGAATGGGCTTTATGGCTATTATTAATCTTATAGCTTACTACAACAGGCCACATGTAGGTGTTCTAGTTTGTGTCCCCAGGCTGATTCCCAGGTAATAGCCACTTTGGCTTATTCACATATCTGGCAGTTGACTCTTGATCTTAGCTAGAATTTTACTTAGGGCCATTTACTGGAACACCTACGTGTGGCCACTCTGGGTAGCCTGAGGCTCCTCACAGTATGGCAGCGTCAAAATGTTTGGACTTTTTATTTGGTGGCTCGAGGCTCCGAGTGCAAACAATCCAAGCAGGAAGCTGAAGTTGCATTGGCTTTTATATCCTAGTTTTGGAAGCTATGAGGCATAAATTCTTCTGACTTATTTTGGCTACAAATAAATCACTACAGTTTTACCAGATACAAAGGGAAGATACATAGGCATGTCACTTAATAACAGGATAATAAAGAACTGGTGGTTTTCTTAATCACCACTTAAATATAAACTGTACATAGTTAAACAGTATAAAAAATTATCACTTATTATCCCACAAAAGGTAGTTTTATCTATTTTCATTATGTTGCCCATATTGCCAAAAACATAACGAAGCATATCTTCAGATCTTACTTGTCACTTATGACAACATAATCTCCAGGGAGATACTATAATTTTATAATTCCTATCTGACCACTTAGTCATCTGTTTCTTTACCAAGTGGTTTGATTTTAACTAGTGTAAACCATTCTAGAAACCCTATTCTCCACATATTTTATTAGTTCGGATACATGTGAGATGTAATTTTGGTGAATGAATGTCGAAGGAAAGATTACTGAAG